CCAGTAAATTCCGCAGAAACTATAAGGTGCGGCTGCAGAAGAATGATTCGAAAGGGTCTACCTTGCAAGCACATATTCCATGTACTGAAGTACTTGAATATATCTGAAATACCAAAGTGTTTAGTTCTTGTGTGGTTCACGAAAGATGCAAGGTTGGGACTGCCCGCGAGGCGCACAAGTGATCTGTTGGGATTTGGATGGACTGGAGCAGCTGAAAGAATGAAATATAGCCAGGTCAGTGTGTTGGCTTCAGAAGCTATGCATGCAGCATGCAAACACCCAGCTTTGTGGGATCAGTTACAGGAGAGTTTGAAGACCATGATAGCTAAGAGCCATGAGTATGATCAGCTAAAGGAAAATTTGAGTAAGAAAACGGCTGATCTTAGTACTTGTGCAATTGAATATGTAGATGATGGTGAAGGCAACATAGTTGAAGTTCAAGATCCTATTAAAGTATCAGCAAAAGGTGCAACTAAGGTTGATGAGAACCGCCCTATGTCGAAAAATGGTAGGCCACTTTCATACGACGAGATCAGAATCAGGTGCGGTGCATGCAAATTGCTAGGGCACACTAAATGCAGCAAGAAATGCAAACTAAATCAGAAGTAAGTTTTTGTACGCATTGTAGGTTATAATTGTTTTTTATTTGTCATTAATTAACTTATCCTGTTAACGTGTGCAGAAGCGTGGTGGGCGAAGAAGAGTAGAACAGTTGCTAGAGTTATGTTAGGATGAATCCAGTGATCTAATAGTGAAGTGTTTACAATGTGTTACTGCATACATGATACATAATATATAATATTGCAAGAGGCCAGTACCTTGAGATAGTGCTTGTAGCATATATGGACTAAACAGGAGGCGGTCACTAGAGAATTTAATCATGGAAAATGGATAGCATTTTAGCCATTGTTATGATGTCATCTTTTGTGTTGTCCACTCAAATTATATTATATTAGAAAACTAGACGATACCCGGCATGTTGTTGCGGGAATGTTTTGCAATATATTCATAGAGAAATGGTTACGTGTAACATGTACATGTTGTTGCGGGAATCTTTTGTTTGCATGTTGTAGTGGACCTTTCTTCATACATGTTGAATGGCGAGGTGGCAAACTTGCATGTTAAGACAAATAGGTTAGTGGTGGCTAGTTGTTTAGATATAGAAGATGTAATTATGTGTGGTAATAATTAAATTTTTTTCACTCCTTTGATTCAGCACCATTTAGATATCACTACAAGAAATATGTCAACTTGTGACCACCACTATTGGTCACTGAAAGGTCACAAATTTCCATTTGCGACCTTTTTGTGACCAAAAACAGAAGGTCAAAAGCTGGCAGTCATAAACTGACTATAGCGACCTTTCTTCTGGAATGGTCGAAGACATTTATGACCAAAATATGTCAACTGTGGCGTTTTGGTCACTAGCAACCTCCCCAGGCCACGTAGGCATCCAGCGTGGCAATCTGACGTGGCACAAGATTCAGCCCGGTCCAATTCAATTTTCTACATGGGCCTAGCCCAACAATTCGGCCTTTTTACTGTATATTTTCTCTATTAATTTTCTCTAGCTACATGAGCCTGGCTCAACAATTTGGCCTTTTTATTTTCTAGGCATGGCCTTTTGCAGACGATTTCATTTTTATTTTTGAGGGTTTTTTGTGGTCCAGTTTTTAGATGGGTCCAAATTGTCAGATTTTTCCCGGCAGTGGATCCACATCACTTTTTAAGCAGTATATATCAAACAGAAAGAAGAAAAGAATATGAAAATCTTCAAATAACAACCAAAATAGGTTTATTACAATATATTCTATCAGAACAGAACATGTGAAACTCCATACACTCGTTCACATCACAACAACCAGTTTAACCTACAAATATTGCATGCCCAGGAACTTAAAACTTCACGTACATAACCATACAATATTCCACACAATCACAAATATTGCGATTGAAAAATAAAACGCTCTGCCAAGTTAAAGCTAGCTACTCTTGGATTGGTGTAGCATCCGTCTTCTTTGCTTCTGCTGCAGTCTCCTGTTAAACAGAATAACAACAAATCGAGTTAATAAACAAGCTTGAAGCACCGTGGGAAACAAAAGCATAAAAACAAACTAATGTCTCAGGTATAATCATAGGATAAATCTGTGTTGAAGCACTGTGTTTAGATGTATTTTAATTAATTTCAAATGTGTAATGCAAGGTGTTGTGGATCAGTGTATAAGAACAACAGTTTGTAAATAACAGGAACAACTTGGTATTACACACAGAGCACTATACAGATTTTAGCTTTTCTATCCAAGTACAAATAGCAAAATGGAACATAGGCAGGTTGATTATATTTGACAGAGCTAGCACATAGATACAAAATAATAATGTTTGATACAGAAATTAGTAATATGAGAATCAGTAAGGTCCTCTCTTAGTGCTATGGGGATTAAGAGCATGCACACGGAAAGCTAATTGGCAAAACAACTTGCTGGTCTTATACAGCTCAGTTATATATCCTCTTTTCTGAGATAAACCATGACTTACAGGATATACATATCCCATGAAAAAGAGGATATACATAGAACCTGACTGGAGCAGAATATTGATTTTGAAGATTTTGCAAGACCGTAAGGTTCTGACAGTCTACTACCATGACCAATATGTACGACAGTGTCTCCAGTATTTGCCTTATCTACCTTATGCTAGACGGATTGTATGGTTGAAACAGAGACAGCTCAAAAAACAGTAATAATACACGGCCAACCTTGGCATCGCTGGGGGACTCGCTTCTCGTGCATTCCTCCTCCAAATTGTTGGGTTTAGAGCAGCAACTGATCCGTGTTTGCACTGAAACACACATAAGAAAACATTTTCAGCACATAATTCAGTAAAGATGCTGGAAATAGATGAGGAAAGCAGTATCAAACAACACGGTCACAATCGAGTTATGCATAAAAACTGAACCAATATAATGCTGCTATGTTGTGGCCATAACAATTGCAACTAATGCCCACTTCATATCAGATCTGCAAGGGGTAGAAAGAGGGGTGGAGCTCACCATGTCAGGGGGGTGGAGAAGAGGAGGAGGGCATCCTGTAGCAGCCTAGAACCCTGTGACTTGCGGAAAGTGATGTTCACAATGCCCAATTCCTCATTATCCAGAACACCTGCTCAGACCAGGAGGAAACGTTAGCTTCTATCAATCAACATATCAGGGTGACAAGTATGACAAAAGACAAGTACAAAGCTGGAAAGGGAAATGGTAAGAACTGCTGTATAACTACACCAAAATGCATAGGTATATCAGTAGAATTACAAAGGACTCGTCAGATGCAAGGAAACTAAGATACCATTATAGTTCTCAGTTGCCGCACAATTCTAAAACATAGCATAAGAAATCAAGCACCATAATAACACTCGACATAATTGGACTGTGCCTAGAATATGCATCCCAAATTTAGTTACCAGGCATTTAGCTCAAAAGTGCTTGTTCCGCAAATTTACTTATCAGGCATTTAGCTGAAGAATATGAATCACAAATTTTTCGATTACACAAGACCTGATGAACACATTTTCTAATCACATCCATTTTCTAATTAACTAGCTCCTAAATATATACATGCACTACATCAGGAAATTTATGACTTGGACATTGTATTAATAGCAGATTACGAACTAATGTACTTGTACTTGATCTAGTTGAATAAATGTAGATAGTTTCTGGTTCAGCCAGCTCCAACTTATGCTACTAGCTACTGACAGAAAAACACAGAGAGAGGGAGAGGGAAATCAGAATCGAACAGCACACCCGTGTGGTTGAGCAAACCACAGTGATTGCTTAAGATGAAGACAATAAACCGCTCGTGTGCTGAAACATAATTCAGACTATGGGGCAATCAGCCATGTCCCATGAAGGAGGCCAAGATCCTATCCTATGCTAGGTAGCTGCTCATGACCATAGTGCTGCTACTACTAGCAACATGCACAAAAGCACAAAGGCAATCACCATCCAGCATGCACAAAACGTGCCGAACAAGTTCGCCCTTTACATCAGTTTCCAAACGAAGCAAGCTGCATGATGTGAAAGTGCGACAGGACAACAGAATCGTCGATCAAGCTGTGGTTTACATTGCGGTGGCATTTGTTTCAAAAAAACATTGCGGTGGCATTTGGAAAAGCACATGTTCGCTTTTATATATGCCCTGGGACTGGGATGTATCAGTTAGGTTGAAATCATGTTTTGTTGATGAGAATGTCAGAAAAAGCATACTGAAATTACCAAAGATTACCTGCAAACTAGGTCCCCCCACTAAGTCGATCAAAGCACATATCACTAGTACTCCAAGGTCATAGTCTATACAATCAAATTAAACTCGTCCATCAGATATGATGGGGCAGCAACACCGTGAGCAAGCATAGCAATGCATTGCAAACTGAAAGTGTGCGAATCTGAGCTGTCCAGTTGGGTTGAACAGGTAGGCCAGATTCGATCGCTTGTGTGGGGTTGGTTCGTGTGCCAGCACCAGCAACGCAACGCTAGGCTACCCCGCAATCCTTCATGTCCCAAGTGTAAGTAAGACTAAATAAAGCTAGCACGGAACGACACAATACAAAACCAGAGCAGAACAACTGCTGGAAAAACACACCAACCAACGCAACACTAAGCTCGCTAATACTTATCGCTGAAGAAGAAAAAAAGATGAAAACTATGGGGCTTGCGCGAGGTGGTGAAGGGAATGCGTCGAAATCGTTGGCGCCACCTGGCAGGAATTCCCCAGAACCGAAACCAATCTGCCGAACTAAAGTAGTAGTGCTAGCAGCAAAATAAGCGCAGAAACGGAGGAGGAGCGGCAGAGGAATCCGTTACCCTCCTAGTCGACGGGGAGGGAAACCCGTCGGAACCGGGCGAGCGAGGGGCCGTCGTCAAGTGAGTCTCGTGCAGCCGCCACAGGACCCTGCACCATGAAGTGGAAGCGGAATCAGAAGGTGAGGAATAAGGCAGCCGATGGTTACCAGGAGCATGGGCGGCCGGGCGGGGAGAGGAGAGGAGAGGAGCAGCCGCCGCCCACCTGGGAATCGAGCGCGGCAATTGTGACGTACCCGCGGATGGTGCGCCAGAGGATCTTGGCCGGGGCGCGGAAGTGGATGGGGCTGTGGGAGGGCTTGGTGTTCATCCTCTTGCGGAGGAAGTGGAGGTACTTCATCTTCTGGCGGACGAGGTCGCCGGACATGCAGATCTCCTCGCAGCGGACCACCACCACGCGCTGCCTGTTAAGCAGCTCCTTGGCAACGATCGACGCCAGGCGGCCGAGCATGTGGTGGTGGGCGTCCCGGTGGTGGCGGCGGCCCGGTGGCTCAGCCAGATGCCGCCGCCGAGGACGACGAGCGAGAGGACCAGGACTCCCGCTCGCGGTCGGTGGT